GATCTGAGGGCTCGCACACTCAGATCAGAAACGGCAAACACCAAAGCGAATGACCAAGCAGAACTAAGAAACCCTCGAAAACACCTCTGAGCAAAAGGACGTTTTAGACAGGAAGTTTGATGTATCGTGCCAGGATTAAATTAACCTGAATCACCGACAGTTAGCCAGTTTTATACGGAAAAAAGGTCTCCTGTCAACTTCCCACCATCACAGGCATTTCTCAACTAACACAAATTAGCTTTGATACGACAGATAAACGGGACTTAAAAAACGCGTTTTGGTTATTGTGATTCAAACAGGGGAAATCCGTCCAACGTGGACTGGCATCCCGCCAAGCAGGTACCCGAGCCTCATGCCAACCCTGTGCCACTGAGGACGAGTCCCCCACGATCATGACCAGGATAAGAGTTTAGAAAATGATGGATAGATAATCACTAAAAGAGGGTTCAAGAGTTACAAAGCTGAAGTTAACACAAACCTTTTTTTATTTTCTTTAGAATAACAGCCCTAAAACTATGGAGCCCCTGAAGGCACCAGTGCAAAAATATTAAAATGCTTACTTTAGCGTGAGCACAAGAAACTTGTGTTTTTGTGCATCGGTCCCTTCAGGGGCTCCGTATAAAACAGTGTTATTCAGTTGGTAAAATTACCAATATCAGTCCCTGTGCACTGTAGGGAAAATAGATTAGCAAAATACACAGCAACTGGAAAAGGAAACTCCAGTGCTGTAACAGCACAACAAGTTCATAATCACAGCTCAAACTGTGGAATGGGTCATGACTGAGTGAAGAGTATTTAAATAAAGTCTATATCTCAGTCCAAATGACAGACATCCGCCACTAAGAGAGCAAAATTCCTGGCAGCTGTGAAATATATTTTGAAAGTGTCACCCCCCCCCTGTTCACATGGTCCTATAAATTAAGGTGGTGTAGTTACATCGCAATTAACAGCGAAAAACTTCTCACGAAAAGGATGCCACAACTATGCCAAACTGTCAGAAATAAAAGTCACAAGTTAAGAGTTGCCGTCTATGGTCGGCCACCTGACGAGAGTGAAGACCAGGGCTTCAAGATATACCAGCTGGCCGGCTCCTGGTCTTTAATCAACACTGATGCAGTCGCTTGTGTGTATGCAGGGCCTTATCCAGAACATTAAGATGAAAAGGTCGATATGGATCTGCCAGCATCCCTAGCAGAGAACCTACCTGAAACTGCAGCTGACAGCTTCCAGTTTAAACACATCAGCCGGCAGGCGACTGAAGCTCTTCAGAAAGGTGGCTGATTCATCGATTTTCAATCCCAGCATAGTGCTGCGTTACCATGGATGAATTATAACACTTTTCATATACCTGAGGACATTTCTATTCTTAACTTCCAGTAATCATCCTAGAAACAAACCAATAGTGGCAAGGTATTAATTAAAATTTGCACACCATTCACATCTACATGGCAGATGCTCTTGTTCAAGCCAAACAGTACATTACAACCATATTAGTAGTAAAACATGAAACAGCGGAAGATTTTAAAAAGTAACTATACTCGTAAAAGATATTTACTTATTCAGCCGTGTGAATTTGCTGACTCCGTCTATCACTCCATCTTTCCACTCCATCCCCCCAGACAGGATGATACGTTTGGCCTCCAGTGCACATGTGTCTACCCTCAAATAATTTTTCATGACGTCCGTATCATAAAAGTGAACCTATCAAGCAAGCAGTGGAGTATTAAATGAAATGTTTTTTCTATGGGGAGGGGGGGGGTACCCCACCCCCTAAACTAGAGCAGGGAGTGAAGGTTTGCTGTGGTTTTCGCAGCGAGGTTCAAAACTCCACGTTTCCGTTACAGATGGGCAGGATTAGCGATCGGTTTCATTAGGACGCCGGAGCAGCAACCAAGCGACGTTGCTGAAGTGGCACGATAAAGTCTTAAAGGGAATTGTCAGGATTGTCCAAAAAAATAAAGTACACGTTAACAAGAAGGGAAAAAATGCTCTTTTGGTATTTAAATATGGACCAGGAAACATATTGTATGCACACAGATAAAATGTGGATTCCATAAACATTATTCTTCATTGCATTCCATTCGCATGAAATATGGATCACAAATAACTGATATGTGAATTCATGTTGGGTTCTAGTTCCTGGTTAGATTATGATATAAATGATTTTTGTTTCATTAACGTACATGTATACATTGCAAATGAACAATGAATAAACCTATTCATAATTTGCTATTATATTAAACTGTTTTTCATTATTTACATGTGAAACGCGGAGCTAATACGCTCCTTCATTTATACTACTTAAAACAGCTCAATTTCGATGACGTAGCGGTGGATGAGCGTCATATGAGCGCATAAAATACATATTTTAAGGTTCTAATTACACTGCAAGCGCTTCCAATTTCTACTGCCGGTCTACGCCTATGTTTAAAAAGAAGTACTTTTAATATTCACAGCCTAACCTTTTCAAAGCAGCTAGTATATTTAACCGCATTTAACGTTTCATTTTGGCTGCCCCTTTAATGTCAATTCACAAGGAACTAGCTAGCTGTGAGGGACTGGTCCCCCATACCAACCGATGGTACGCGTGGCGGAGTTTAGATAGCCTTCAAACTCATCCCAGTCTGTTATCGTTGCCTTTATCTGAAACGGCAGTTTTACACTGCAATCTTATTTTTAAAAATAAAAGACGCGGTTAGACGGGATGGTCTAGTCTGAGGGTTTAAAGTGTAGAATATTCATAGCTATTCATAGACCAACAAACCATCACAATTTCACCAAATCCATTGCTTGTGGACCAGTAACAATGTAATTAACATTTTTAATTGATAAGACGCCACTACGTCCCCACATAAACAATGTTCAATGACTTATTTAAAAAAATCATTTCAAAAAAACAAAATTCAATATAATGAAGGCAAGGAGAAATTCAATTAGCTTTATACACTGGTCGGAGGTTTATTGCTGCTCTACTATACTAACCCCCACCCCCACCACAAGCAATTTAAAGCTAGATGTAGCCTACAGTTGCTTTTTTTGTTTCGAAATAAAAGAGAAGAGACAAAGAAACAACATCCACCATCCCTTAACATTCCCCAAATTTGACGCATCGGTTCCGCTAATATTTCCCATGCGCTCAAATTAAACCGCATACATAATTCGAAACCCGGACGAGATTAGACATCCTCACAGTCTAACTAGGGGGACAAAAATAGATCCTTATTAATACAGTCAAATATATAGACACTTAACCACCCCGCCCCCCCAAAAAAAAAAATCTCTATGACATGGGATAAAAAATACATCCATTATGAGAAATCTTTAGGCACTCATAAAACATCGGACAGAAACAAAAGATCCACCCACAATGACTGCAAATAATTACACTAAAACAGGGCGATTCCACTTGTGGTATGTGTGTCATTACAATTAACTTCTATTCAACATTGCAGAAGGCGATGACACGGCATAAAGTGGCCCATCGCATAAGCAAAAAGGGCACACACAAAATAACACGAAGCTTTCCGGGCAATCGGTGCTGTGAACCTCAGAAAGACCTCTTTCACAAAGGCTACGTTAAATATGGAACGCCCGGTTATGTTATGCTGCAACATAGACCTATACAAGAGAAGAGGGAGGGGGCACCGACATGAAAATGTGATCTAAGCGTGTTTTATTTTCAATAAAGCACTTTATGTACTTTCACTTTCCCAGTTCAAAAGAGTTGGGGGCATTGTGCGTCGCCTTTGTGACATAAAGACAGACAGGCTCCATCAACAAGGCCGTAAGAGAACAGCTTAGGAGAACACATACGGCAGCCAGCCATGTTTATTTTTTTTATTTTTTTTGTTCACACGCAAATCGACGGATCAGCTGGAAATACACACACATCCCTCGTATTTTTCTACATCAAGCGTCGCGTCCGAGTCCGCATCGGGATCCTCACGTTTATGCATCATCCGCTCGTGTTCTGAATTAATTCCGCGTTATTTGCCGACGACGGGCGCCGGTAGGTTGTTGTCGGCACACGGCAAAGGGTATTTACCATTGATTTAGAAGTTAAAAAAAAAAAACAGGAAACTACACACGGAAACATTACGAGAGCTTTTATAAAAATACGGCCCTAGCATCGTGTTGATGATCAATCAATGGATCTTAATAAGCGCCGTCTATTTTTTTTTCGTTTCATATAAATATTTTCTCCTCGGTCGTGTAGATGACAATGACGATAATTAAGTGAGCTGGAACTATTCGCCTTTGTCCCTCTGTGGGTAAGAGTTTATCGACATCGTCTGGCAGCGTTGGGAAATATTAAAGTCACCCGCGTACAGAAAACAATGTTGCCAGGATATTATTCAGGAATTAATTAAAAGTGGCGATCCAAACATTCCTGCCGCTGCGAGACATTCCCATGCACCCCATGTCAAAGTGTGTGTGGGGGGGACATGTACCTCCCGAAGTAACACTGAAACCGTAAAGCAATAGAAGAGAAACGAACTGAAATACTGTTATGGGGTGTAATTTTGTAGCAATATTAATACCGATAATGTAAACGCCCGGCTCTCGGGTGCCAAACACACTAAAGTCGGACATCGTTTCTCAATGCCGGCGTTTCCATTTTTACTTTTCTGCCGGATGGTAGACCTCCTTTGTTTTTTTTCCTGCACCTCGGCTTTAAGTTAAGAAAAACTTATCCATGAATGTTACCGTAGTCTGGCGAATCGATTGAACTGCAGATCACACGATACACGTATTTCTGAATTTAACAGGCAAACTATATTACCGGAAAGCGGTTTAATTAAAGTCGGCGACTGTTGAAGTGACAAGGTAAGTTTGCATTGGTGCAAAACTCGTTTCTGAAGACAGAGAGGTACGCTTATTCATCAAGATATGGCCGTTAATCACGAAAACCAGGTTTGCAATCATAAACATGGAATAAAATAGACAGGCAGACAGACATGTTAAGAAAATTAGTTTTTTCTTTTAGCACTTATACTTACTAAGGGTCGTTTGTAAACCTGGGTGTCCGAGGTGGCTGGTATCCGTATAGATGGCAATAAAGCACGTCGAAACAGAAGCAACACATCTCCGCCGACACCACCATCTTCCTGCCGCCGCTGCCCGACCCGGGTCCGGGGCTGAGATTCGGGGAAAGGCCGGTTGAGTTGTAGCCTCCCGGAGCCGGGGACAACGCGTTGGTGCTGCTCGCGCTGCCACCCCCGGGACCCCCAAGGCCGTTCACACGACCGGCGCTCCCCGCCGCTGCAGCCGACGAGGAGCCCATCCCCAAGTCCGACCCGCAGTGTCCCGTCCCGGCCACCCCGCTCCCCGCGCCGCCAGGACCCCCCGCGCCGGGGGACCCCGACAGCTTCTGCTTCTTCACCCCGCAGCACCCCGCCGCCATCTTGGAGCAATCTGCGCCGACACACCGCTTCCGACCCATCACCGTCGCCGCGGGAGGGGCGGGGTAAAGCGTAAACTGCGCAAACGCGTACGGCGGACAGCGCTCCACCTTCTCTCCTTTTTTCACCACCACCCCCACCCCTACACCCAAACGTAATGCCCCCCACCCCCTCCCGCGTACTTTACGCTATTTCCTAAACTCCAACCATTGAGGGTGGGGATTGAAGGGGGAGAAAAAAAAGACTGCAATGTCACTTCAGTCTCGCCTTTAACCCAGAAAAGACGTACCTTACGCAGATCGCGTACGTCGTTTACTTAGAGACTTTGCCAGCTGTGGACTACTGCAAATCACACTATCCCAATGGAGCAGAGATATATTGTTTTTTCGCCTTAAAAAGGTGCAGACCCCGGTTCCGAATACGGCCACGGCGGGAGCGACCCGTTCAGCTTATTTCTTGGCGTATCACATAGCAGCCAAATAATCTAAGATGAAAACAGTTAAGGAACAGATAAAGGGTAGCTGTCAGGCGAAGAGCACGAAGCTACCGCTATCTACTATAATGTACGTTCAGGAGCAAATGCAGCTATTCTGTATTTTTTGTGTGGGAGTTGGGAGATTGAGTACGCAGGACCCATACGCTTCGGCACCAGTAGCAGGCAAGGCTCCGGATCATGTAGCTCAGGCCAGTTGTTTGCTTGCATCCAAACTTGCAGGTTTCCGCTGACCGCAGTTCAGAGATCCAGCCGATGCGGAGTCAGAGTGCCTTAAGAGCAGCGCTTCTCATTTCCTTGGCACATCTGCAACCCACAAGTCATTTTTTAAAAATCCGAAACTGGTTGTTTTGCATCTGGTCTACAAGTCACTGCTCATTACGCAATTGACGTCTTTTATATGTAAATCCCACTGTATACAAGACAGAGTTGAAAGTTTGTTATATATTTGTTTAAATGATGTCATCCGTTTATTTAGAGACATGTTGGCATGTCATTTTCTCCTGCATGCCAGAAAATCACCAGGCTCTCCCCGCCGTCGTTCGCCACACAAGTCGCAGTTACCCTCGTTGCTGTGTTTAAAAAAAAAATTCTTCTACGACCATCCAAAATCGGTAGCTCCTTATTCAGTTCTTCCACGCAGATTACAGAATCCGGGACGTACTTTGCGGGGTATTCCTACGCAGAATACGTCCATCCTACCGGCTCTTCAAACCAGATTCCGAGCGCCGTCTACGCAAAAATGGCCCGTAGTGAATGCGTAAAGTCAGCGCCTCTTCGGTGGAAATTCTTTTATTGTATTATTATTATTATTAGCAGCAAATCGGAAGCGTCGTCCGGTAATGTTTGTTCCTGTCTCGATTCTAAGAGAGAGAGAGAGAGAGAGAGAGGGAGGGGAAAACAACGCATTAAAAATAAAGCAGTCCCCTTCGCGTCTTCCGTCTCCGCTACATCATAGACACGGACCAACTCGGGCTTTCAGACAGGCTGCATTCAAGGTGCCACACGCCGAAAACGAGCCCCGGCTCCAAAAGCAGGGTTAGCGGAGGGTGTACTAACGTTTTGTCATCCACTGATTGAGCAAACAAAATGCTGCGTTAAAGCTACAGCGCAGGACCCAAGCGGTCTGAAAGCGCCGCGACGTTTTTAGATAGCCGTGTCAATCAGAAGACGAGCTGTATCAAGGCAGAACGACTGGAGGAAATGCGAGCCGTTGCTGCTACAGCTGGTCAAGCGTTTTAATCATCCTGGCCGTTTAAACGCAATCAAAGACGTGGAATCGGGGTATTCTCAAAATTAATGTCTTAGCCACCACTCAGTCGGCTTAGAATGGGACATATTTACATGTAAAAAGGATGGCCTCACAACCAGTGGCACGGTGGTTCAGCAGGGAGCCGTTTTCACTACACGCCTGTGGGATTTGGGGAGGGTTGGTTCCAGCACTGTGGGTGGAAATTGTGTGTTCTTCCTGCATTTGGATGGGTTTCCATGGGTGGTCATGTTTCCTACCACAATCAAAAGACCCATTTCCAACAGCCAAAACCCTCATCTGTGTGTGTGTGTGTGTGTGTGTGTGTGTGTGTGTGAGAGAGAGAGAGAGAGACAGTCAAAAAGAAAGCGATTGTCAGCCTATCCTCCTGGCATAGGTTCTAGCTCACCACCTCCTTAATTGGATGAGCGGCTGTTGAAGATGGCTTGGAGTGGTTTGAATGTTTTTTTTTTCCTCCCAAATGCATCATTTGGTCGCCTGCCTCTGTGCCTTACTGGGATGGCTCCCGTCTGGTGAGCTGAGGGAAACCAGATTCCCTCGCGCTTTGAAACGGAGCACCTGGAATGACTGAGAGGTCAGCAAAACGCCACAAGCGTCCTACGCTGGCACTACTATAAGGTGCATCAACCGGCTTTGTCACTTTAGTATCAGAACTTTCCGTAGCTTCTAAGGAGAGCTTGTTATACGGTAGCACAACACACGGAGGCAGTGATGAATGTGGCCTGCTGGAGCCAGATCACATCCATTAATGTATTCCCAGTGGGTCTCCATTCAACGGCTTGTGCTGAGTTTGGGTGTTATTGAAATAGGCCAAGCCCTCAGGCCTCATCTGAATAATCTGAGTAGATCTCATTCTAAAATACTACTACTACCCTAGTTGTTAGACATTAGTCTGGGAATGTGGCACGACTGGGATTTAAGACTATAACTGAATATTAATATTGCGTGCATACATATTTTATGAATTAGGACCCACATCTTTTCCGTCGGTGTTTACAATTTGAGGTACAGATATCCTGACGTTCTGCTCATATGGGTCATTCCCCGAGTGTTCGTCCAATTCTCTACCCGCAGCGAGGAGTCCGACAGGTGACTTCAGGTGAACAAACGTCTCTGTTTGCGCTCCGGGAACAGAGGTTTAAAGATAATGGCCTTCTCCCAGCAGGTGGAACCGGGAGGAGGGGGTGCAGCTGCCGTGTGATCAAACAACAAATTGGGCAAAACTGCCTCTGCTCTGGGCAGTCTCGGATCCAGACCGACTTACCGCGCAGCTGAAAAAAGAGGAAATAGTTCTCTACACTCAAGGTCACTTTGGGAGTGAGATTTGGAAGCTCCAGATGTTCACAATATATAACTTTATTGCATATTTCTTTTTTTTGTTTGCAAGGGAAAAGTGGACTTAACCAGCCCTGGGTATCATTTTCTGTAATTCTCTTCTAGTGTAAGGCAAGTTCAAAGCACTGATCAAATGTCATCTTTCTGGAATAATATTCAATGAAGCTGATTTAATCATGATCACTCAATCACTCAAGCCTGATTACAGTCGCCATGTCTTCCATTTCCTGCTTCCCGGTATTAAGTTGCTGGAGGAGAAGCAACTTGCTTGTATTCAGTGCGAGATCCCCCTGCTGCATAATAAAATACATCTGCTTCATTTTAACTGCCAAGTCAAGGCCTCCTCTGCATGAATGCGGTTAACGCCGATGTCCGCAGTCGCATTATACTCTCGCTAATGCGCCTTGCGTTGCTGCGGCCATGTTTTAGCAGCTGAACCGTGTTGCCACAACACCGTGGCGACGTGCTACCAGCAACAGAGAGGTTAGTCATCTTTACAGTGCCTGGACCTGCAATTTGAATATCATGAATTTACAGTGGGGGAGGGGGTGTCTCTGGCATGCATTATGGGAAATAATAATAATGGCACTTTATTGATCCCTGTGGGGAAATATTTTATTGGCCTACCTCATTTTGCGCTCCATGACAAATATAGGTGAGGGCAAGCAGAGGTGGACATTTCAGGTCCAGAAAGTAAAAATCCAGACCAGGATGTTGTAGTGTTAAATTGTGCTTTATATTGAGTAAATAAGCACTTAACGCCAAGATAAAGAGCTTTAACCATTTTCTTTGACTGCCTAAGACTTTTGCACAGTGCTGCAGGTTCAGATCTTCTCCATTCAGGGTTATCTGGGGCAGTGTGTAGCTCAGCAGACTACAGAGGTGGCCATTTCAGGAGCAGAATGTCCACCTCTGAGAACAGGCTTGTCAGGAAAGGGCAGCCACTATGGAGCTGGAAGTTAAGGGCCTTGCTCAAGGGCCCACAGACATGCAAGTATCCTGAACCAGCGACCTTCTAAACCAGGGGTCTCCAACTCCGGTCCTGGAGAGCTACTATCCAGTACGTTTTCTATCCTATCTGGCTTCTGATGAGCCACACCTGCTCCTGGTATTTACCTGAGAACTAGTGTGGTTCATCAGAAGCCAGAGAGGATAGAAAACCTACTGGTTAGAAGCTCTCCAGGACCGGAGTTGGAGACCCCTGTTCTAAACACAAGCACAGAGGCTTAGCTCACCAGAGGTGGACATTTCAGGTCCAGAAACTAAAAATCCAGACCAGGACTTTGTTTCAGCCAATCAGTTGAGAACTATGTAAATGTGGCTCTTTATGCTCAGCTGGTTGGTTGAAACAAAATCCTGGTCTGGATTCTTACTTTCTGGACCTGAAATGTCCATCTCTGTAGCCTGCTGAACATGCAGTACTGTGCAAAATCTTAGGCAGTCAAATAAAATGGTTAAAGCTCTTTATCTTGGCATTAAGTGTATATTTGCTAATTAAAAAACACAATTTAACACTACAACAATTACCATTACTGCAAATTAACATTATAAAAAAAACTAACAAGAATTTCTCCTGTTCTCTAAAAAATGCTGATATCTTGTTGGATGGCTAGATGAACACCGCTTCAGTTGCCAAACCTCTCCTCAGGGGCATCTCAGCCTTTTCCATGTATTCATAAAATTTCAGCACTCGATTTCATTCATTCATTCAATCAGCCGTCAATCAGCTTTTTCCAGGCATCTCGGTTCTGAGCCAGTCTTTCCAGCTGTCCCCATGTCTTTCCCAACTGTTTTGCGTCTGTATTCAGGTTGCGGCGCCATGTATTTCTAGGCCGACCCGATTAATTGACTTAATTTGTTAAAAAAAACACAATGAGGTATTGATTAGCCAAACATGGTATTAGTGGCCAAGTAAAGAACAATACATGGGTGCATTAGATAGTTACTGCAAATGCTGTGGTGACATTAGCAGAAGTTTAGGAATGGCTAAGTTGACACACTTCAACAGGCATAACATCATAGTCTTACACCGACATGAAGATCATTTAAACATCACCTTCTTTAACTGCCTACGCTTTTGCACAGTATTATATATGCACACTCAGTAAGCTGGGTTTCCTGTCTGTGCCCATATCCTCTAAAGGCCCATAAGGTGCTTTTCTAAAGTTTATAAACACTACAGTGAACGAGTTAATCCTCTCTGTGAGATACTTGATAGTCCAGATGTGCATTGGGATTCCTATAGAACTCTGACAACATCTTAAATGATCAGGAAGACACATAAATGGTGGGAAACACTGTCATAATCGTGTCATCAAATTAGTCTCGAATATCATTTTAAACAAATATCAGCACACAAATACAGAATTCCTAAATTTACATATACAAATATTACACATATGCAACCCCAAGAAAACGGTAAAAGTGCTATGCTGAAATGCAGACACCAGTAGTGCAGACGTAAGCGTTTTTTTTAGCGTTGCTCTAACCCAGTAGCTAACGTTGTGTCCGCTAGCTCCTGTCCCCATCATAAGACCTCAGGTCCTCCGGGGACGGGCTTTAATGCGGAGGTGTCACATGTGTGTCTACCTGAGCCTGACGCTTGTCGCTGCAGTCATCCATTTTCCAAGCTGTTTTACATCGGAGGGTTTAGCAGGCAGATTTTGCAAGTTGTGCTGAGTCAGCTGAGCTTCGAAAATCGCCTGCACTCACTTGTCACCTGCCACATGTTTTTTTTTTCTAAAAACCAGTGATTTATAATGTGTTTCTTTCTTTTTTGAACTGTTTGTTTGCCCAGCATTGTGATGCAGACCACTGGTCTGTGTCTATTTTTTATTTTTTTTTAGCAAGGACAAAACATTTGGGGATACCAGATAGAATCAGTAGTTCTGGTTCTGCATAAATTTTGTCCTGGGCTGCAGCAGTGGAAGGAAGGAGCGCTTGGAGATGTGGTGGGCGTGGTCACAGGTGTCTCCTGCTCTGACAGCCAATAACAGAGCCACGGAATGACATCAGGGCACCTTCGCTTGCTCCAGATCCGCCATCATGCCCCTCCCATGCCAAAGGAGAGGCCGTCACGGGACAGAGATCACACCACAACCGGACAAGCCCAATGCGGCAATTCCAATGTGGCCCACAAATACTTTCCTGATATTCCACCCGTTTCCTAAGATACAGGACCCCGTCCCACAAATAACTGCTGAAGCAGAGCTTGGATTCAAAATTCCATCATCTGTAGGATATATCATGCGCTGTTGT